TCCCTTGCGGTTCCCTAAATAAATCCTCCCTTCTCTTGGTCTTTACTCCTTCCAGGTATTTCAGCCTGCCGCATTGGTCCAGCACAGCTTGCAGAGCTCTCTCCCTTCCCCTCTCTTTTCCCCACTGCTCTGTGCCGCTGATCCTGACCTGTCCCTCCCTGGGATGAGAGCCCGGTGCTTGGAGCCAGCATGGAGGCACGGTCCCCTCCCTGTTCGGCATCTTTCCTGGTGCCGGTTAGAATCATGCCCACTGCATGCTCCTCTGCGGTGTCACTGGCTTTCTGGTCTCAAAACTCCTTGCTGTGCCCACTGTGGTTAGCTGGTGACCTCTGAAAGGCAGCTTTGCTGCCTTCTGCCTGCTGTTGGTTCCCTCTTGTCCCTGTGGCCGGTCCTTTGCTCAGCCTGTTACTGGCAGCAGCAGACGCATCTGATCGCAGATAAAGATCTGTAATGATGATTTCTGCAGTCGTGCTCAGCGTGGTGGTGATTAGCATTGCCCTTGGCTCATATTCCTGACTGGTTTGCACGTTCTTTGCTTGGATAGAACGGTTTGAACTAATTTTTTTCCAGTAAGGATGGGTGGTTATTAAAGGCTCGACTGAAGTTCGGTATTGATGTTGCTGTTTCACCTGTGCTAACTACACTGATGGCAGCGTGCGCTTGAAAAGAACTCGGGTCTTGACATTTCTCGGTTGCTTCTTCATCTTCACACACCTCTAGCTGTCAGCTTTGGAGTGGCATTGGGAAGATGTCAGCGTAAGCAGCAGGGCCTTTGTGTGCCCTGGCTTTTCTGTGCTGGGGATGACAGCAGCTGTTTGAGCCAGGGACTTCTCAGCATCTTGTTTCCTCTTTCATGTTTTCTTGTTCCTAATTTACTGTCTGACCCGTCGGGGTAACTTGGTCTGGCTTCTGAATGGAGATTGCCAAGCTTTGCTCCAGCATCGCTCGTCTCCCCCGGGAATCGGGAAGCCGGGACGGGTTGAACCGGCAGGTCCCTGGCTGAGCCACCACCGCCTCTGCAGCCGGGGCTGCCAGGACCGGGCTCCCCCTCCCCAGGATTGCTGCTTCCCTGGACCAGGCAGGAGCCCCCGCTCTGCTGGCTCCCGCTCCTGAGCCACGACAGCATCTTAAACCAAACCTTTTGCCCGGCTGTGCTCGGCGCCGCCGCGTGCTGACATTGCTAATTAGGTCAGCGGCTCCCGGTGAATTGAAGTGGATGCATTCGGGAGGCGGGGGGAGGAACGGGGGAGTTATTTGAGGCCTCTCCAACCTAGAAACCCAGAAAAGGTTTCTGGAGCTGTTGGGTGGCTCCGGCGTGTGCTCTGGCTTTTGGCACGGCCAAGAGCACCGCGAGCGCCGCCCTGGCCGGCTCCCTGCCTCCTCGGGTGCTCGGGTCACAAATGAGGGGGTTTTTTTCCCTCCTTGAAACTGGGAATTTTATTTAGACAATGCTTAAAATCTGAATTTGAAGCCGACAACCTAAATCGAGGTCTGAATTTAAAATGCAGCGCTCGAGCGGTACGTGCTTGTCAGTGAGGTCTTGGCAGGGATGCTGCCGAGCCACGGAGACCGAGCGCGCCGAGGCCGGGGGGGAAGCACCGTCCCCTGGCCCTTATGCCAGTTGTCAGGTCATGCCAAGCTGAGAAATGCATTTGGCTGGGGTTCAAAATGCAGGGTGGCTGCAGGATCCCCCCGCCTCATCCCCAGGGAAAGGAGATGTGACCTGCGGCTGTGAGCCCGATGGTGCTGACGGGCACCTGGCTGCAGGTAAAGCACCGCTCACTGATTAAAGGCAGTGCTTCTCCTTGGCGTACAGTAGTGAGATCTTGCTTTGTGCTTTGCATGTTACTTTTTTTCCTGTGCATCTGGCATATTTAACAAGGTTTTCATTTAAATTGTCTTTCCAGGCATCGTTTGAAAGCCCATTGTCATTTTGAGCAAATCCAAAATGAAAGCTATCTAGTGAACAAGAAGTGTTGCTCGCCATTTTGTAATGTAATAACGTGTAAAAATCAAGGCTCTGAATAAATCAATGGCACATCAAGCATATTTACATAAAGTATATAAAGCGCTGAGAATACTAAATTTAGAGCATAGGCTCTCTGCTTGCAAATCGACATGTTCTAACTGGCTGTAGCCATTAAGACCAGCCTTTCTTTAGCAAACAATTAAAAGTACACTTGCAAAACAAGATTGAAATCAGAGATGTAAATAAGGCTTTAACTTGCGTCTTTAAATCATGATTAAAACTAAAAATCTAACATTGCTAAGGTAAGGAAGAATTTCCCGTGTTGCGGTGTATGGTGTTTATGGGACTGGAGCTGAGCCTTGCCCCCCCGCCCCACCGTACCTGGGGCATGGCTGCGTCTGACCTGGGGAAACCTGAATCGCGGTGGGATGGTCCTTGTGCTACTGAACTAAATTAGCTGGCGGTGGACTCATTTCACTCCTCACCTTCTCGCTCTTGATGGCCCAGTTAGTAAATTAAGCAGGATGAGTTTAGGGTGTTGGGAGCTGCGTTTGTTCCTGCACTCCTGCTATTTCAGGTGCTGTCATGGTTGTGCTTCCTTCCAGAAATGGGGTTCTGCAGGAGGGCGAGCATCGTCCTGCTGCTTCCCTCGGGAGAGAAGGGAAGGAAACTTTTTCGGGAGCTGCCTGTAGCGCAGGGCTGTGGGGACAGCGCGGCTCGGTCTGTCCCGGGCATAGCAGGGCTGCGATGGAGGGGTCGGGGCACCGGACCCTGGGGGAGCTGGGGGCTCTCCGGGCTGGTGCTGGGGCGTCTTTCCCTCCTGGCTCCCCATCCTCGCTGCCAGGCTGATGCCTCTGGGCTCTGTCCCTTTGCTGTTCCCGGGGCTAATAATACCCAGGAGGAGGCGGCGTGCTGCCGGCAGCGTCTCTGTCCCAAGCCCACTCCGGGGAGCGATGCTTTCCCCGCTCACGCCGAGCGCGTCCTCCCACGGCTGCCTGCTCCCGCCTGCCGGCACGTGCCCAGGGCTGCTGCTGCCTCTTCCCTGTGCCATGCCGGCCCCGGCACCTCTGTGCCTGCTGCTGGCACAGCCCCGCTGCCTGCCGGCTTCCCCGATGCCCTCCCCTATACCCCTGCCAGCCCCCATCCAGCTCAGCTCTCCCTGCAGCTTCTGCTTGGGGGTGATGCAAATACCGCCGTTATTTCTGCTTCTGTGCCCAGTGACATCAGCTCAGTTACCTTCATTTATTTCTGTTCCTAAACGCAGGTGTTTGCACTGGATTTTCTCATTTGGGGGGAAAAAAAAAATTCTTCTTGAAGCAGGGTTGATGGTTGCAAACTGGGTTTTTATTCATTTCTCACCGACTCCCTTTCCCCCACCTGTGTTGGTGCATGTGGGGAGACCCAAAACCTGCTGGGTCCGGCGCAAACTCTGCGCAGGGTTTGCTCTTGAGGGAGGGTGCTCTGAGCAGGGTGACAGCAGTAGGAGCTCCAGCTCTGAAATGAGCCTCCTTTGAAGTCTGGGACGACGCCTAATCTTGCTGCTTTTGTTGAGGTTTGTTCCATTTTATGCGTCTGCTAATAAATATTGTAGCATGCTAAAAATAACTGTTAAACATGAAGAAAGAAGTAAAGCTGCTTTGGGCCCTGAATTTCCAGTTTAATTCCCTTCTCAGGGAAGCTCAGACTTTCTGAAACAGGTTTAGCAGCGCCTGGGCTGCACGGTTGGTTGTGGCTCTTCAGTGCGGTGCTGCCGTGCCAGGGAAGAGCCGGTGCCAAGGAGGTGTTGCAGGGCAGGACAGGGATGGGCGAAAGAGATGCTCCTCTTAGAGGCTTGGTGGCTGCTCTCCCAGTGCCACACCAAGGGTGGAAGCTCCTTGCGGAGGATCTGGAGGCATCCCGAGAGGATTGAGGAAGGAGAAAGCGGCCAGGTCGGGGAGCTGGGGAACATCTCATGCCCTCTGTGCTCAGGGATGCCGATGGTGTGGCCGATCCGCAGCCCTGCGGTCCCAGGCGTTGCTCTCGAGCCCTCCCGCGTGCCACATTCACATCACAGGGATCAGCCTGAGCGGCCGGATTACCCCAGCCCAGCCCCATGTGCCTCTTCCGTGCCCTGTACGGTGCCGGCAAAGCCCCGCGTGGCACAGCCGTGCTGGCAGAGGTCACGTAGGTAGAGCAGGAGCCCGTGCCAGCGGAGGAGCCTCCCGCTGCTGTGTCTGCGGCATCTCTGCCCGGCGCTGGCAGGGTCCCCGGCATCCACGCAGCCCCAGCGTGTGGCATCGAGGAACGGCTGTGCCGGCAGTCCCCTTTCTGCTTGTGGCCGGGCAGGGAGTGCTGTGCCAGCGTGCAACGCTGCCCTGCCCTGGCACCGTCCCCGAGTCCCCTGCACCGCTCACCGCACGGCTGACTGGCAAACGCAAACCGAAAGCCGGTAGTTTGAGCGTTGCTGATGGTTGTGTGTGTTGGAGGGGTTCACGTGCTGTCCCTGCTGCGGCCCACCGGCTCTCAGCAGCGTGGCCCTGCCCGTCCTCGCGGGCAGCGATGGGATTCGGCAAAGACGCCGGCAGCGGCGGAGGTGCCGGAGGCGTTCAGCCCGGGCCGGGTTTCGTGGTGGTTTGTGCGCTGCGGTGCCTGGCAGGGACGAGCAGGGGGCTGTGGGGGCTGTTGCCAGCCCCAGGCGATCGGGGCGACCCTCCTCGGCCTCCGCCACCGCCGGTGCGATTGCCGCAGCTCGGGCGCCCGTTTGGTGAGAGGGCGGCAGCACGCGGTACAGCTCGTCCCGCCGCCCGCGCGGCTCCCAGCCCACGTGCTGAGTCAGCGCCTCTGCGTGGCGGGGGGGGTTCAATGAGTAAGGGTGGGTTGGAGGGGCCGCACAGGCACATGTGTGCGTGTCCTGGGGGGGGACGGACCCTGCGGGCACCCTCGCCAGCCCCGTGGCCGCTCCGCTGACCCCTCTCCGGAGGATCCTGCGGCACACGGAGGGGCAGGGGCTCGGTGGGCAAAGCGGTGAAGGCAGCTCCTGTTTCTGTTCTAGTACATCGAAGCCATCAGCAACAAGCAAGGCGAGCTGGAAAACTACGTCTCGGATGGCTATAAGACAGCTCTCACGGAAGAGAGGAGACGGTTCTGCTTCCTGGTAGAGAAACAGTGTGCCGTAGCAAAGAGTGCTATCACCTACCATGCCAAGGTGAGTCGGCCCTGCCGGAGCTGCCGTTCTGCTGCCGCGTTCCTGCGGCTGCTGGGCTGCAGGTCCCGGCTGCACCGTCACTGGTGGATGCTCCTGTCGTGAGCTGTTGCCTATGGAACAGGCTGGTATCCTGACAGCCGCAGCTGGTGCAGCCCCTGCAGCTCGGGGGAGAGAGGCGGGAGGGAACATACCAGTGGGTGACCCATGGACAAGATGCCCTGGGAGATGCATGTGGTCCCAGGCTGGGAGAGGCAGGGCTGCACCCCAAGCTGCCCTTTGTCTGACAAGGGGCCATGTCTCCCATGGGTGCTGGTCTGCATTTCAAAGCGGCTTTTGGCTGCATGAGGTGGATGGGACCGACTGCGGTTTGCTCAAGTGCCAACGTGGTGGTGGTGACGGCAGAGCCTGGCAGCGCATCCCGCTGTCTGGCGGTGCCAGCCCCTCCGTGGTGCGACTTCATCTGCGCAGGAGAGCTCGTGGTAGATGGATGGGGCTGAGTTCACCTCTCCCGCATGCCGTGGTCACCGAGGTCTGGGGGCTCTGCCCCAGCAGAGGTTTGTCAGGTTCTTCATGCATCAGCTCGTGATTTGCAAAAGCAGAAGAAATGCAAAGCAGCAATATTCCTGCTCGGAGTCAGAGCAGCGCTGCCTGCCTGGCAGAGCTCACTCCGACCCTCGCCTTACCCTCTGGCCTTGGCAAAGGCAGGGATTAAACCAGAGATTAAATTGCTGCTTCAAAGCCCCTTTTGCCCATTCCCAGGCAGCCCACATTGCCTGGGCTGGGGGCTGGAGCTGCTGCCTGCCAGCCTGGGGAGCAGCAGCCCCCTGCGCTGGTCCAGAGCGGAATCCATCCGGATGAGGGCTGGGAACGCTGGTGCTGCTCCCGCAGCCTTTTGCTCCTGTTCTGGTTGTTCCCCACCGCCACCCCGTCGCTCACAGCACCCATCTGTCACCGCCGCACTTGGCACCGGGGAGCAGGAGAAGGAGTTTGGATTAGTCAGCTCTGTCCTCGTGCTGTGCTGCGGACCGGATCGATGCTTGGCATATGCAAACTCCTGTAGTACAGGAGGGGAAAAAAAAAATCCTCCCCAGGGGTTGGTGGTGGGGGGGAGATCAGCAGGCATGAGGGTGCCGGCACCCGCAGCATGGCTGCGGCATGGTGAAACCAAAAACTTCTTGCAGCAGCACATGGAGGGTGATGCTGCAAGAGGGACTCTGCAGGTGGCTCATCCAGAGCGCGGTGGGCGTACGTGTGATGTGGGCGCCTGGCCCCGCACCAGCCTGGCAGCCAGCGTGGGCCTTGCCGGCTAAAAACGCCGTCCTGCTGCTGCCTGCAGCTCCCGGAGGATGCCGGCGGCAGCCGAAGTCTGGGTGGCGAGGCTGCGCCTCAGCTGGAACCAGTGGCCGATAGTGGGGAAACGTTCTGGGGCTTTGAAATTGGCTTTAGAGGTTTTTTTGATACATGGGGACCAAGTTGTCTCCAGATGAGACCGGACGCAAAGCCGCGCAGAGGTGTTGGGTCACCCTCTGCTGTGGGGTGAGCCGGTGGGTGAGTTGGCTGTCAGGGTTACCGGAGCTTCTCCTCCACTTCTCTTCACGGTGTGTTTCTCGGGGAGGTGTTTAGGCAGCTGCCTGGAGGTCAGCGTGGTGCTTGGCTGAGGAACGACCTTGGGGTAGTTTGGGACATCTCCTGCCTCGGAGAGTCACACAATGAGATGCTCACTCACACAGCATGGGTGTGTTAGGTGAATAAAGGCAAATTTAGCTCCGTCTTTTTTTAGTATTTTTTTTTTTTTCCTCCTTGGCTCGGAGCACCGCAGTGGATGGCTGCAGGTCCGGCCACGGGCAGGGAACAGCGGGGTTTAGCTGCAGGGCGGTGGGGCCAGAGGCTATCGGTGCTGAGCAGCCCTAAACAAGAAGCTGATCCCTCAGGACCTGGGTGACAGCACAGAGTACGGGCTGTGCCCTGCCAAGCCTTTGGTCAGTTTTTATTTCTCCGCTTGGTCGAGCGGTGCTGTTCCCCAAGGAGCCCAGCACCCTGCCCAGCTTCCTACGGCCCCTCTGCTCCTGGAGCTGCCCTGCACAGGATATCTCAGAATAAGCTGGGGAGATGAATTACCTTTTCCTTCCCTCCTTTCCATTTTTCATGACACCTTCCTGGCTCAGCTGCTGTCAGAGCCTGGAAGTGGTAAGTCCCTGTGTTTTATCTCATCTGTGCCATGCACAGGGGAGTCAATTGATCTTGTGGCCAGGATCAGGCCAGCTCTGGATCCGTGCAGTGCTGCCCAGGGAGGGGTGCAGAGCTGGGTGGTTTTCCTGCACCCCTGTGCCCTCACGCCTCGTTTTTCTCTGTTGCAGGGGAAGGAGATGCTGACGCAGAAGCTACCGCTGTGGCAGCAGTCCTGCTCGGATCCCAACAAGATTCCGGACCGCGCTATACAGCTCATGCAGCAGATGGCTGCCAGCAGCAATGGCACCATTATGCCCAGCCCTCTGTCTACATCCAAATCCAACCTCATCATCTCTGACCCCATCCCTGGTGCCAAACCTCTCCCTGTCCCCCCGGAGCTGGCACCTTTTGTAGGAGTAAGTATCTCTGTGGTGGAAATTGTCCTGCCCTTCTGAGCAAAGCTGGAGGGACGAGCCCGGGCCAGTGTCACCGTTGTCCTCAGCAAGTTGCCTTTTGGTGGACTGTCATTGATGCGCAGGGATGGGCAGCTCAGTGCACACACCGCCCTGGGATGCGGGAATGAGTACGGCATGGCTGACGTGGGACTGGGCAGCCTGTCCCATCCCATCCCACCTGGGATTGCTGAACTCCAGAGGGGCAGGGGCTGCAGGGCCTCCCAGGGGGGGATTTGGGGAACCCACAAGCTGGACTCGCCTGGCCAGGCTGGTCCCAGTCAGGCTGGTCCCAGAGCTGTGGGGCTGAACCAAGGTACCCCAGTAACTGCGGGAGAAGGTGCTTGGAGTGACCTGTGGGATGAAAGACCCTTCAGAAAAGGGTCTCCCCTCTGATGCGGGGGCCCGAGCTGAGCAATAGAGCTCAGGAGGGATTTATCAGGTGCAAGGCAGCTTGGTGCAGTAAAATACCATAGAGGTGACCCTGCTGCTCCCCCCAGAGCGGTTTGTCTCAGGTCGGGAACTAAACCCATCAGGCTGAAGCTCTGGTCTGCTGTGAACCACCTTCCCTGGAGCTGCATCCCGCTGCAGGAGCTGTGCTGGGATGCCCTAATGAAGACGTTCCCCGTCTTCCCCCCCCCCTCCTCTCTCCGTAGCGCATGTCGGCACAGGAGGCCATGCCAGTGATGAACGGAGTCTCAGGCCCAGACAGTGACGGGTACAACCACTGGTCTGAGATGAAGCCAGCACAGCCCAAATCTTTATCTCCTCCCCAGCCTCAGAAGCAGCTGAGTGACTCTTACTCCAATACACTCCCAGTTCGCAAAAACGTGCCACCGAAAAACAGCTACGCATCAGGTGAGGCTTTGTGTCCCCCCCTCCTCTGCTGTGGGGGCTGCCGGGGTGCCGTGGGGCTGGCTGTGCCGGGGGGGTCGCAGCCACGGTGAGCAGGGTCACCAGGGATGCTGGTGGCGGCAGGGCAGTGAGCGGCAGCGTTCCTCCGGCGTCAAGTGCCGCTCGTGCTTCTGGATCTGGTGTTAGGAAACGAGCGGAGCTGGGTTCTGCCATGGGTTTTTGGCTGGGTGGGTTTCAGTGAACGGACAGCATTTCCAGGAGGAAAATATTGAGGAATCTCACGCAGGGAGACTGCTCCCTTTGCCGTGGGTGGTGGGCGATGCCAAGAGTGGCAGATCCTGCCTGGGATCCTGCTCATTAAGGGGGAAGATGGGAGTCAAACACTGAAGGTTTTATTGGTACCTGGGGTAAAATAAGCAAGGTTAGGGACCTGTCCCTACTTGTGCTTGGGTTTGGCCGCGGGGTGAAGGACTCGGGGCACTCATTGGCCTCTGTCTCTCACCAGCCGAAAACAAGACGCTGCCACGCTCCAGCTCCATGGCCGCAGGGCTCGAGAGGAACGGCAGGACGAGGGTGCAGGCCATTTTCTCTCACGCTGCCGGAGATAACAGCACCCTCCTGAGCTTCAAGGAGGGTGACCTCATCACACTGCTGGTGCCGGAGGCCAGGGACGGCTGGCATTACGGAGAAAGCGAGAAAACAAAAATGTGAGTGCCGTGGCTGTCCCCGTGAACTGCTGCACCCCGGGCGCAGCCTCTTCTGGGTCCTCCACGAATAAGTGTGAGTTTGGCTTCATCCCCTGCCTTTGCCTTTCAGGAGGGGCTGGTTTCCTTTCTCTTACACGCGGGTCCTCGACAGCGATGGCAGCGAGCGGGTCCACGCAAGGTAGGAGCATCGTGTGGGTGCCGCGCCGGGTGGGTCCCTGCACCCCTCCTAGGGCAGGTTTGTGGGCTTGGGATGGGACATGACACATGTTGTTAGGAATAACTCCCATCACAGGCGGGTGGTCGCTGGCTCGGGGGGCTTTGGCCATAGCGTCCCCTGCCACGGGTGGATGGGCAGCCTGGGCATCTCAGCCTGGGGTGGGCTGGGTGCTGATGCCTCTGCTTCGGGTCCCCCCACCCAGCCTGCAGCAAGGGAAGAGCAGCAGCACCGGCAACCTGCTGGACAAAGACGACATCGCCATCCCGCCGCCCGACTATGGCATGGCCTCCCAAGCCTTCCCAGCGCAAGGCGTCAACACCTTCAAGCAGAGGCCGTACAGCGTGGCCGTACCTGCCTTCTCCCAGGTGAGCCCACGGGGCAGCGGGGGCTTCTCCCACTTTAGGGAGGGCTTTTTACAAATGGGAGATGCTTGAGCAAAGCCCTGGGCATTAGTCCCTGCCGGAGCCCTGCGTATGGTGGCCTGGGTGTCTGCGCCATCTCTGTCCCACTTGTGGTTTTAAAGCAGAAGGGCGAAATGTGTTAAAAGCGTCTTCTCAGTCTTGGCGTGATGTAGAAGGTGTGCGGGTGCAGGAGGACTGCTCTCCAACTTGTGTTCGTTGTTTGTAGGACTACCTAATGCCCTATGGTTGTGCAATTAAAGACTATTCCAGTGGCCTCTGCCAACCACCCTCCGCTCACTACAAGCCTTACACTAGGTCGACAGCTGTAAGTCGGAATGCACGCAATGTTTCCCTTGGGATTTACGGGTAGTTGGCCGCTTTTGCCTGGTGACCCGTATGCCTTGTCCGAGAACCCATCTCCTGCTGAGCGTCTCTCCTGGGGAGAAGGGACAGGGATGCAGGGAGGCAGTGGGAGAGGAGAGCCGTGGACGGGGAGGATGGGCCGGTTTGGCTCGCCTGCACGGAACGGGCAAGGCACGGGGAGCGAGTGGCACAAAACGGCACCGTAAACCCCCAAAGGACAACACTTGCCAACTCTATGGGAGCCTCCCACCAGAAACAGGCTGTTCACAGGCAGCTGGAAGCGTTTTCTCTGGCACATGCCAATTCAAGCCAGTGACGGTCCCGTGAGGACGCTGGAGTGAGCGTGCGAGGCTGGGGCAGACCCCAGCCAGGGCTCCAGCAGTTGTCCAAAACAAGCTCAGGGCTTCTCAGTTAACGAATTGGGGAGGATGCATGTGTGGATGACTTCAGTTTAACCCAGGAGCTGCTGGTATAGCGGGGCTTCCCTGCCAGAACGAGCATGATGGGATGAGCCACATTGGCTTCCCTGGAGCTCTCGGCACATGCTGGCGGATGGGGAGAGGATGAGGAGGGGGAGAAGTGGCCACGCAGCACCCGACCCTTTGGCAGGGTGCTCCAGAGAGGCGGCAGCTCCAGCTGGGGTCTGGTCCTCTCCGCAGAGGATGGGCAAGTGTGGCCCCACTTGCTGTTTGCTGGCTTTTCCCAGCAGGGTTTGCTGCTGGATTTGGGGTTTTGTGATTGGGAGCGTTCCTGGGATGGTGGGAACTTGGGTCTCTGATCCCTGGTGCATGGCCAGCTCAGAGACCAGCAGCTCCCAGTCCTTCCTGGAGCGGTCCTGTGTTTGCCATGAAGAGCAGAGCTGCTCTGTGGCCGTATCCCAGGGCAGGTCCTCACCCAGGGAGCAGTGTCCTTGAGGGGTGTCCTCTCAGCCTGGTCCCCCTCTGCTCCTTGGACCAGTGCAGTCCTTCCCCGCTGTAAAGGCCATTCAGTGCCGGCTGAAGGAGAAAATGGTCCAAAACCCTGTGGGTTTCTGGTGGGAGTTAACACAGACAAACACCTCTTTCCACAGAACATTTCACTGATGTGTCTCAGACTTGTTTGATCCCTTTTCGAGTCTCGCATCTCGAAAGTGGCCGGAGCTCTGTACCACAGTGGGGCTGGGCAGAGCAGACTGGGGCTCTCCCTTGTCTTGCCAGATAAAGTCCTGCTCCGAAGAAAGTGGTGCAGCTGTACTCCCTGCTGTCTAAACCCCATTTTGAATCATCTCCATAACTCCCTTTCCTCTCCAAATGCATCGGCTCTCGGCCCCAGCATCCCTGGGTCCCGATGCACTTTGGTCTGTTCGTGTGACCGTCCGGCGGTACGTGAACAGGCACAGCCCACGTCCCCCACCCCTCACCGTGCTTCCTTCCCTCCTCTCCGCAGGGTCTCGATGACTACGGGACGAGGTCCGTCAGCAGGTAAGACTTGAACCTTCCTGTTGCGTTACCTGAAAGCGAACTGTTGGTGTTGGCTCTGGGCGAAGCCGTGGTGCCGTGTCCCCGTGGGGGTCCCTGTGTGGGCTCCCCGGGGGGACAGGCGGTGGCTGGGACGGGGTTGTGTGGCGGAGGGGACGCGGTGTGGGTCTCGTCTGTCAGCACGGAGGGACCCAGCGTCTCCTGGGGAGGACAGGTCCCAGGGCCAGCCCCTGCCGTCCCTGACCTCGCACCCCTTGCACTTTTCCAGCAAGAGTCCGCGTCTCCCCAGCCTCCTCTCTGGGGCTTGTGCCCGGATAGTGAGGCCACGGAGAGCGCACGCTCTCAGGGTCTTTTCCCTGGCACCTTCTCCCACCCAGCAGCTCCTCCGTCCCCGTTCCCTCTGCCTTGGAGCTTGCCCCATCTTGCTTTTGGGTTTAAACCCCAAACCCACAGGCACGGGCTGCGAGCAAAGCGGTGACGGGCCAGGGGTCAAGCTCACCGCGGCGGGGGTGCTGCTGCTGGTCCCCGTGGCACCGTGCCGGGGAGCTGGGCTCCTGGGCATGGTGCTGCCTCGTGGCGCGCGCCGGTGATCCCGGCCACTCTGGCAGTCTCCTGTGCTTTGTTCCGCAGCGGCAGTGGCAGTTTGGTATCAACGGTGTGAGGACACCTTGGCTAGCGGCGGCCCCTTGCTGCTTGGAAGAGCTTTCTGCTTCTTTCCCCCCTTTTTTTCTTTCCCCTTCGTTTCTCTTTCTCTACTTCTTTTGGATTTTAAACTCTTGTGATCTTCAAGGAAACCATGGTGCTTCTCCACCCCTCCCTGGTGTTCACAGTGCCCTTGTTTCTGAAGCCTTTTCAGAGCAGAAACTGCCCATCGGTCTGTGCTCGCTTTGAAGCAGCCTGGATGCAGTTTACACTTTAGTGGGACCTAGTTTTTGTACTCCTGTGTGAATGTTAGCGATGCACTATCCCTCCTCTGGGGCTGCACGCCAGCCGCCTCGCACGAGCCTGGACAAAACCTCCCAGACTGGAACAAAATATGCATGGTCTCTGGTGTCCGTACTGTTACCGAGCATCCGGGATGCCCGTGCCCGGGATGCCGTTCCCGCGGGGGGCAGCGGCCCCGCGCCTCCCCCCTCGGCCTGATCCGCTTCCATCCAACCACCCGCCGCGGTGGCTTTGGGAGAAGCGGATAGCGCAGAGCTCCCGCTCCAGGGAAAGGGCTGCTTCTCGGCTGGGGGTCCTGCTGGCTGTGGGCGCAGCCAGCAGCCCCCCTGGAAGGGTTACTCCTGGTTGTTTTATAAATATATATATATATTTTTTGTAGCAAGGTATTGTTACCTCACGTTAGCGCTGGGGGCTGGTGCGGAGCCGTCAGAGGACGTGCTCGAGTCCCTAAACCGGGCTTGAGCGAGGCAGCCCCCGTGCTGTGCCGGGGGGGCTCGGCAGCACCCGGGGGTCTCCCACCCCGGTGTTGGGTTGGCGCTCGGGGTCCCGCTCCCACAGCTGAGCCCGGCCGTAGCCCTTCCAGTGCTCGTGGCCGTCTCCACCGCAGAGCTGTACACGCTTTCTTTTTCTGATGTGATTTTTAAAACCTCTTACATTGCCTGTTTACTAGGACATTGCTGGCAATACAGACACACACACAGAAAAGTTTTTGTTTTATATACTTGCCTATGGGCATATTGTAACAAGACCCTCCTGCATCGATGTCCTAATTTTGCTAAAGATTTTTAACCCAGGATATTTCATGCTGAATGAATGACTGTAGAGGGGGAAAAAAAACCACCCAGCCTAGCAAAGCCTGTATGGAGATTGTAAAGTGCTGAAAAACCTTTTTTAACAGTCAGAGAGAAATGTGCCCTGTACTGAGTTATTGTTTGAATAAAAGTTTTATTTATTGCATTGAGCTGGGCCTCGGTGTCTTTTTCGGCTGCTGTGCCTGTGTGCTGCCCATCGCCACCTGCATCGCCCATTGCACATTGCCATGCCTTTTTTTTTTTCTTTTTCCCTTCTCCATCCCCTCAGCATTTATGTAGCCATGGGAGACCCTGGGTACTGCCTGCTTGCGCTCAGCCCCTGCAGACTTTAAACAGCTTTGCTGAGCGGGAGCAGCTAAAACTGTTTAAGGGCCGGATCCCTCCTCTGTGTGTGTATTCAGGGGATGATGCTGCTGCTGCTTGCTGCATGCTGAGGCTGTAGCTGCGCTTTCCTGGCCCGGCGGTGGTGGGAAAGCGGCGATGGCCGGGGCTGGGGGGGAAGGAAGCCGCCCCCCTCCCTTCCGTAGCCCCCACCATGCCCGGCCTCTCCTCTCCGCAGGTGGCTCCCGGCGGCCCGGCTGGCCATGCCCTTCCTTCCCCTCCTCGCAGGGAGCCGGCGGGCAGCACCAGCAACTCAATAAACACAACTTTTCCTCCTTTTTCTTCTTTTTCCTCCTGCTTCCTCTGCCCGGAGGCGCTGCATGCGGTGCAGCCGGCGGGCTCGGTGGGCTCTTGCACCGGGGTGGCCGCTGGCTCGTAGCCCGGTTCCTCTCCTTAACCAACACCTTCTGTTCCCATCAAGGGGTCGGAGTGCATCCCGGTGTCCTCCAACCTGCCTTCTCTTTCCCTTGCAGCCCCGATGTTGAAGTGGCCAGGTTTTGAGGTGCCCCTGTCTGTAGTTAGTAAGTTGACGGTCTCGGGGGGGGGGCCGAGCCCTGGGTGTGCTGGTGCTGGGCAGCGGGTGACAGCCGTGGGGCTGTGTGGGGATGGTGCCACCGCTCTGCTTCCCCCCTGCACCCGGCCGAGCGCGTCCCCTCCCTTGGTCACCGCTTGTCCCCCGTCCCAGTGGCGGGAGCTCCCGGTCTAATCGCTCTGCATCTGCACGGCTCCTCGCACCACCGCAATGCCGAGCAGCCTGCTGGGGCTGCCGCGCTTTCCCCGGGGATGCTGAGCTGCTGCTCCTGCTCCTGCTGCTTCCCCTGCTCCCCATAACCAGTCTCTTTGGTTGTAGGTCTCCGGTGTCTGCTGTCCCACCAGCGCCTAGTCGCTGCATCGCCATCCCCAGCCCTCTCCCATGGGACAGAGCAGATCCGCACTAATGTCAAGTTTTTTGAGCAGCTTCTTTTGCTTGTAGACCGCCCTAGGGAAGTGTCTCGGGAGCCTCCTTGTCCTGACCCCAGCCGTGGCCCCAGGGCAGGGATGGAGGAGTTGTCCCAGGAGCAGAGACCCCCTCTCACTGGTATTGCAGAGCCCGGGAGAGCCCCTTCCCTGTTTCTCTTTGATCTGTGAGCTGGTTTTCCTGCGGCTGCCAGAGCTGTGGGCTCCAGTCCCAATGGCTCTTCTCTGCCAGAGCAAAAATAGTTAAATATTAAGCCCTGGTGACTCATCAAAGCAACCTTTCCTCTCCCTCCAGTCCTGAGAATCTATTTTGGCATCCTGGAGGGAAAAGTGATCTTAGAATCTGCATTAATTAGGTGGGAAATTAATTACCCTATTTTTAAGCAAAAGCCATTTATCTTTTGAGGAAAGCAAAAGCGTGCTTGGAGAGGTGAGGGATGGTGGGGGAGAGGGGCCGGGGGAGGCAGCGAGTGCCCTTCCCGGGGGGCTGAGGGGACCGAGCCTCTTCCTCCTGCGGCGTGCGGGGCTGTGGCAGTGCCAGGGGCCAAGCAGGTCTCGCTGCCGCAGGTTACGTGGCCATTGCTTCTGTTGCAGAAAGGCGAGGGTTTGTGCAGCTCCCTGGGGAGGGCTGGGGGCTGGCCAGGCAGCAGGTTTAGACCCAATGGCTCAGGGCAGCCCAGGGTGGCTGTGCACCGCCGGCAGCCGACAGTACCCCCGTGGCTGCCTGCACCCCACGGGAGTTACCTCCTGCCCGTAGCCGGCAAGTGCCGGTGGCAGCGGGACGGCGCTGGGGATGCCCCAGGTAGGTAAAGCCTAGCTGAGCCCAGCTGTCACGGCTCTGGCTGTGGGACATTGCCGTTCCTCAGGATGGCTGAGGCCGGCTTGCCGGGAGCTGAGCTCCTCCTGCGCAGCCAGCTCATCTGTGTGTCCTTCCTCTCCCCGTGCTCTGCCTCTCCATCATTTGGCTTCTCCAAAGGCTTCCCAGCCAGCACGGCACGGAGCTGCAAGCTCTGCTCTTGCCCGGGTATCCCCGCGCTTCCCTTGGCAGATGGGATGTAGGAGCTGTAACCCCCCATAGCAGCGAGGTGCAGAGCCGGGTGATCTCGAGGTGCTCCCACATGTGGGAATGGCTCGAGCCCGGGCTGGAGCAGCTTTTCCAGCCCTGGCCCCCCCCTCCCCTCCTTGGCAGTCCCAGCTTTAGGCTGGCTGGAAAGCAAGGTAGGAGAACATCCAGCATGCAGCAGCCCTTGCCGGCTCATGTCTTACATCCACCACTGCTTTAACTGTGAGAGAAGTGGATGAGCGAGGGGCAGCTCAGCCCAAGGGCTCTGCAGGGCAGAGCAGCTCCAGCTTAACCCCTTCCCAAATCCTGCTGAACCCGGGCAGGTGGAGGGGACAGGGCTGGCGGCTCCGGGCTCCCTGATCGCCCCGCTCGGGCTTGGGTTTAGCCTTGAAATGTGCCCAGCGCAGCCTCTGCAGCCAGCGGAGCCACCTCGGCTCTGCAGCCAAAGCTTTTTGAGGTCTCACCTGATTGTCGCTTGCCGTGCCGGAGCCCTGTCCTCGCAGGCCCCGCTGCCGCCATCCCTCCTGCTAAACTCTGCCTTCCTCTTTCTCTGCAGAAACCCCTTTGCCAACGTCCAGCTGAAGCCAACGGTGACGAACGACCGCTCAGCTCCGCTCATCAGCTGATCCGGCAGTGCTGGCACCTGCCGTGCCGTGCGGCACTCGCCACCTCCTCCTCACCGCTGCATGTCCGGCTTTCCAGGACTTCATTTTTAGGCAGAGTTTATTTAATCCTGCTGCTTTGAAAGCCAAAGGCTAAAGCTAGTGCCCTAGTTCTCTCTTCTCTAGACCCAGCTTATTCCTCTCGGTGGCAGAGGGTTAAACCGCTGCCGTGTAGCCCGTCCTTTGACTGTGCAGAATTAGCACGATGGCAGCCCCCCACCACGCGCTCCCAGCATGTCCCATAGCCAGGTTTGCTTCTAGGCTTAGCAGCAGCTTGCCATGGTTGGGAAAAAGGCCTCAGCTGGAAAACAGCTCTCCAGTGGCGAGCTGTGCTTCGGGCTCGCACAGGGTAGAGCAATGATGGCAGAGGGGAGATGCTTCTCCCACTGCCTGGCTGGGACCCCTGGGACAGGCAGGATAGCCGGGGTCCCCTGTGGAAGCCAAAGGGGTGGTGGGAGCCGTAGGCAGCTCCCAGGCCCCTGCAAGACCCCAGCTGCATGCCCCAGGATGCTGGGAAGCAGTGGGATGCTGGGAGGCAGTGGGATGCTGGGAGGCAGTGGGATGCTGGCAGCGGGGTGCCGGCACTGCAGACCCCGCCGGGACGGGGACAGGGACGGCTCCGCTCCCAGAGCTCCTGCAGCGCCAGGTCTCTGTGTATAGTAGGGTATTACGGTACTGCTGTAAAATATAAGCTAAGAAAAAAAATACTTCTGGAGGTGAGGGCTCTGTTTAAGCGTGCCTTGAGGTGCCTGGGGGTGCCCAGCAGTTGAAGGGGCACCCTGCTCCCCTCAGACAGGCTCTCCCATCCAGACCTCTTGCTTGGCTCTTTGCTCTTCCTCTATTACTAGGGCTGCATGAGAGAGAGAAATAGATATAGATAAATATATATATATATATACACACACACACTTGCTAAGCTTATTGCTGGGGTGTGCGCCCACAAGCAAGCAGGCTCCTGGGCTGTTCCCACAGCTCCCAGCTGCCGCTTGCCCCGAGCCAGCACGGGGGTTGCATCCCTGCTACGGGAACAGGGAGAAGTGGTTTTCCAAGCAGGAACCATGTCTCCCGTGGGCGAGCGGTTGCGCGCCAGGCAGCTTGGGGAGGGCAGCGCCCTCAGAGGTTTTTTGCCTTTTCCGTTGTATTTGTCATTTTGCACTTTTAATCACTAGCGCACCGCAGCCTGTTCAGTGGGTGCTTTGCAGAGCACAGAGAGCCCCGGGCGCGTGGGTCACTGCCTGTGGGTTTCCATGCAGGCAGGGCTCTTTCCCAGGCAGATGTGATGGCTCATCGCTGCCGTGTCCCCTCTGATGGTTTTTGCGGCTCCGCCACAGGAAAAAGCGGCTTCTCCTGCCACTGCCCGGGGTTTCGGCTGTGCGAAAGGGCTGGCTGGGTCTCTGGTCCATGTGCTGCTTCTTCCTCTCCCAGGGCTGGAGCAGATGGATGTGGGGCCAGACAGGGCAGGGGTGAGGGGAAGGGCTTTGCTGGGGTGCAGGGTGGTGGGTGGGAGAGGGCTT